ACAACAGTAGCTATTGTTACAAAATAAATAAGAAAATATTCAATCACCTATTCTACATGGATGATCTCAAACTCTTTGCCAAAGACGACAATGAGTTGAAAGGCCTCCTCAATATTGTAAAATACTTCAGTGACGACATAGGTATGGACTTCGGATTAGATAAATGTGCAAAAGTAACTTTTAAGAAAGGTAGAATTACAGAAACACCCTTAATAGATTTAGATTTTGTCGCAAAGATTAGGGAACTGGAGCATGGTGAAGCTTATAAGTACCTAGGAATTAGCGAAGGAGATGGCATACAACATCCCCAAATGAAGGAAAAAATAAGAAAAGAGTACTACAGGCGTGTACGTCTGGTACTAAATACTGAGCTAAACTCAAAAAACAGGATATCAGCCATAAACACATTGGCTGTCCCTGTGGTACTATACAGCTTTAATGCCCTTAACTGGACCATAGCTGAAATTAAGCGAATGGACGCCAAAACGAGAAAGCTTCTCACTTGCTGCCGCATGCATCATCCCAAAGCTGATGTCGACCGTCTGTATGTGCCCAGATCTGAAGGAGGCAGAGGATTAGTTCAACTAGAACTGTCCTACAAAACTACAACAATTGGCCTCCAAAGATATTTGGAAACTACAGAAGACTGAAGGAACATGAAAAGTAGTAAGCGTCTTTACTCCGTAGTGAAAGAAGCCAACAAATTCAAAATGGAGTTTCAAATGGGCGTAGAGATGCAACTACAGCACAATACACCGGCTGAAACTGCAAAATACCTAAAAAAGACAGCAAAGACGAATGCAACCGACCAGCTACAGAAGCGATGGCAAGATAAACCACTTTATAGCCAATACTCTGCCCATACCAAACAAGCTGACGTAGACAAAACCCGTACCCATAAGTGGCTACGTAGTGCAGGGTTGAAAGCGGAAACTGAAGTTTTTATCCTTGCTGCGCAGGACCAATGCTTGCTAACTAGGAATTATCAAGCACATATACTAAAATATTGTGTCAGCCCAAAATGCAGATTCTGTGATAAATATCCAGAAACGATTGATCATCTTGTATCAGGTTGTACGGTGTTGGCACCCACTGAATATAAAACCCGACATGACAGAGTGGGCCAATATCTGCACTGGAAAATCTGCAACTTCTACGGGAAGGAAACTGAAAGAAACTGGTATGAACACCACCCAGACCCGGTTACGGAGATAGGACCTGCTACAATACTATGGGACTACACAATACACACTGACAGAACAATCAAGGCCAACCGGCCAGATATTGTTATTAAAGACCACAAACAAAAACGATGCCTCCTTATTGATATGGCAGTCCCTGCTGACTGCAATGTATCTTTGAAGATATTCAAAAAGTTGTCAAAGTACAAGGACCTTGAAATAGAAATCTCGAAAATGTGGCTTATGGGAACATCAACAATCCCTGTTGTAGTTGGATCCCTAGGACTGGTTGGAAAAGATTGCAGTAGACTAATTGAAGGAATTCCTGGAAGTCCATGCCTCAAGGAGATACAAAAAAATTGTTCTGACAAATACAGCCCACACCTTACGAAGGGCTTTAATTCTTTTTTTTTTTTTGTCAGTGGAAAGTGTCATGACGCCATTTCTAATCTTAGGTCCCTGGGCGGGACCCTGAAAGAAATGTGTAAACGCCAGAAATCAAAGAAAATAAAAAAAAAATAAAAAAGAAGAAGAAGAAGAAGAAGAAGAAGAAGAAGAAGAAGAAATAATAATCTTGTACCTAACGTGCTTCATCTCAAATTTGTACGTCTAAGTCTGAATGTCAAACAACATTCTTTTCTTATTATCATGAAAACTTGTATAATGCTGTGTAAATACGGATTGTACAAGTCCATCATAAATAGTCATTTTTTAAAAAAATGTTTTTCAGTATCAACCAGAAAAAGAAAAAAAAAGTTTTTGTCAGATTTTCTCTTTTACGATTTCTTTTTATAATGCAACATCGAAGAAGCATTTCTTCTTTTTCTAAATCGATTTTTCATTTGTTCGAGAAGTTTCGAAACACACACAAAAAAAATGCCAATGAGTAAACCAAAAACAAAACAGTATTAAATAAGTAATGAATACCGAAACCAGATAACAAAAGAATGAATATCATATAACAGAAGAAAATGTACCAAGCAAGAAAAAAAATTCAAAAGACTCTTTTTTTTTATTTTAATGTTATTGTCGGTTAATAAATGCCTCTAAGCACAATGATTTATGTTCAACCGCTTCCCGATAACCTTCAAATCGGCTGACGTGTTCAGGGTTCTCCGAGTAGCTTTCGACTGTTTTATGATGTAAGTTAAAATATAACACGGGCCAGAATGCCATCATGAAACCACATATACATATCTCTACGAAAGTAAGTAGATATACATATACATATCTCTACGAAAGTAAGTAGATATCTAGTGTATGTAATTTACCAGAAAAAACTTACATCGTAACAATTTAACATCACCAAGACTTTACCAGATTATCCAAGATATTTAGGTATTAATCCGTAATAAATCTTATGTAAACTTTTAGTGTATAATCTGTTAGTTAATTCACATAACACAGAGATCAACTTTTAAATATATACTAAAATAAGCCATCAGTTAGAATACAGAAAAAGGATGGACAAAAAAGGACAATCAGGAAATGCTAAAAGGTTTTTTTTTTTTAGTGCAGTTTGTTTCGGTGTTTTAGAATTCTAGTTTTTCAATCGACTATGATTATGAAAGTGAAACTGACGAAGACTGGATATATATTTCACTTCTAGTCTTTTCGGGAAAAGCATTTAGAGCTTTTAAGATTTGACTGAAGATTTGAGCAGTTAAGATTTGAATGGAGTTTAAATAGTTAAATTGCCAAGAGAAATCAGAGAAAAAATTGTTCACGATTTCTCAAGACAAAAAAAATCGCATATACATATAACCACTCTCAACACACATCGAAAAACCCCACCCATGTATATACATAAAAATGTATCAGAACACAAAGTCGTGTATATATATATATATATATATATATATATATATATATATATATATGTATGTATGGTATACATGTATGTATATATATATATATATATATATATATATATATATATATATATATATATATATATATATATATATATATATTTATATATATATATATATATGTATATATATATATATATATATATATATATATATATATATAGTATAAATTGAAGTCAACATTTAGAGGCGACAGTCTGTTTCATGCTAGATGCAATCGTCAGGCCTGACGATTGCATCTAGCATGAAACAGACTGTCGCCTCTAAAATGTTGACTTCTATGTTTACTTTTATATTCACACACGCTCTATCTCTGATATTGAGCACTTTATCCTATAAATATAGCATAGTGTTCGTGGATGTGCGGGTGGTGTAAAGGTTAGTGGTTTGAATGATAAATCGGAGAGCAGAGTTCGAATTCCAGTTAGTCTCTTTATGTTCACTCACGCTCTAATAATCTTCGGACAGGTATGAATCAATCTCCTCCATACGGATATGGATTAAATAATAGGACTTGCATCTGGAACAAATCATTGTTATTTAAAAAAAAGTTACTGCAATATTCACTCAGAAATTAAGCAATTGTTCTTACAATCTTAATTAATCCGGCTTTCAATAATCAACAAATTGTTGGTAATCAGTAAAAAAGTAAATCAGTAAATCCTACACTTTTATTTCTGCCATTTTTTTTGTTCACTGTGCCAAATTCACTGGTGGAAATAACCAACCATGCATTTTTTTCTTAACATAGGCGTAAATATATTTAACTCATAAAATTTGAACAAATAACTTCAATGACCAGAATAATACATAAATGTCTACACACAGACACACACACAGATATATATTTGAGATTTGGGTTTACTTACAGAATAAAATTGCCACAAGGAGCCCTCTAGCCATCAACAACAACATTCCTCGGAAGAGTGAGTTATACTTTTTTCATTATTCCTTGTTTCGTTGAAGAAGTACACAAGCGTGTCCGAAAATTCCGACTTTTGTATCTTTCTCTTCATGCTTCAATTTGGTCAAGGCTAACATATAATAAATATCATCAAGGCTAGGCGCAATCTTCAGGCCGCGATTGTGTCTAGCAATATATATATATATATATATATATATATATATATATATATATATATATATATATATATATATATGTGTGTGTGTGTGTGTGTGTGTGTGTGTGTGTGTGTGTGTGGTATGTATGTGTGTGTGTTAATTTTAATTTATTTTCTTTAAACGTTACTTTTTATGGATATTCGTATTAGTGGGAAAGCTCTGCTTTTTAATTAAACATTATTATTTATTTAAACAGTATTTTTAATCCTTCTACATTTACCAGCCTGAATATCGGTAAAAAAAATACTGTTTAATTAAAAAATAATGTTTAATTAAAAAACGAAGCTTTTACCGGAATATGAATATACATTATGAATTAGATGAGTTGATTAAATAAGACCCCCGCGGGAGATGTTTGAAAAACCCCGAAGAAACAAAATTAAATAGACAGGCAACAACGGTGCCGAGACCAAACAATTTGAGAACGTTAATACGTGACACAGCCTTTTTCCGGAAATTAGTAAGTCTTTGTGACGATGATTACAAAAACACGGAAACTGTAGTCTAACAGGCGACATCAAAGTGAATAAAGTTAACAGTGATTTGTTAATGACTGCAAATCATGGCCAAATGGGTAAAGACGTCGTGTTGGCAATAAACAGTTGAAGTGAGTGGGGCGAGAGATAGTGTGGTGGAATAGAGAGGGAAAAGAAGGCGTGGTTGACAAGGGAACGGGGATGTGAAGAATGATTAAATGGGAAATAACCGAAAATAACCGCTGGGTGCATCAAATAAATTCGCGGCTTATCAAAGAGCACTTAATTCAAACATCGGTTTTTCAATCTACCTACCTACCTTTGTTCATAGTTGCTCATATCTGTCTTAGCCAGATTCTTTCCTTCTCGTCCTGTCTTTCTCTATCTCTCTTTACCTTGGTCTGTTAATCTATCTATCTATCTATCTATCTATCTATCTATCTATCTATCCTTATTGATAGCACTCTTAGCCGTTTGATATCGCTATTTCTATCTGGGGTGGAGGCTCAATCTCCCAGTCTTTTAATATATTTATTCAATCCTGATTATCTCATTCTTTCTGAATCATCTATCTATCTATCTATCTATCTATCTATCTATCTATCTATCTATCTATCTATCTATCTATCTATCCCTGTTGATGTATCTCTTAGCCAGTTATTTCCCTTATTTCTTTTGTGTTCCTATCTCTCTCACTTCATTATGCTTTCTCTTTTTATCTCAGTTTAACTCTTTTCTTTTCTTCCTATCTATCTATCTATCTATCTATCTATCTATCTATCTATCTATCTATCTATCTATCTTTTGTCTATTTATCTATCTCAATTCGTCATTGTATTTATTTCATCCTGATTTTATCTATCTATCTATCTATCTATCTATCTATCTATCTATCTATCTATCTATCTATATTCATATTTATGAAATCCCAGCAGAAATTATGCATGATTATTTTATAGATGTGGTGAGGGGATTTTTTTCAATCATTCCAAAGCCGAGGTGAGCAGAAATTACAACCAAAAATATAAAAAAAGAAAACGTTCTGATATAGAATAAAATCTTTAAAGTTAATGAGTGAATATACATATTTTATATTTGAGTTCACGACGATACGCAGTTTAATTTGTGATTGGCATAATACAATGCCTGTCTGGTAAGGGCCCCAAAACTACTGTATTTTACTTATTTTTCTTGATGAGACTAAAAATCGTAATCACGGTTTCACTCTTTATTTGCCGTGTCTTCTCAGGTTTTAGTCGATCATGGCTCTCCACAATTCCCTCCATTTTTAACACTTAATAAATTTTATCTTTGTTGTTATTTATCCTAAACTTTGTTCTGTCATTCATTTATTCAAGTTCGCTAATTAAGTTATGCGTTGTTTTTCCTCTGTCCCTCTTGCCTTCAATATGGCCTGTAAATATCAGATACACACACACACACACACACACACACACACACATACACACACACACACACATATATATATATATATATATATATATATATATATAAATGTATTCTTTTAAGTTATATTAAATAGGCCCAGAGTCATTTAGTTTGGAAAGTAAAACAAACGCAACAGTCTATTATGAAAATAAACACAACGCGATCATATTACCGTAAGACATCGATACGTCTATACTGATGAGAACAATCATTTTCCATGAGGTTCAAGAGACCAATTCTAAAATATTAGCAATCGAAGGGGTCTTGATTGTCAGAGATTGAGTTCTGTTGCCAGTGGGTATAATGAAATTCATTGCAGACGCTTGAGAGTGCGGTGGATACACCTGAATATTTCACCTTGTCTTATTTTCTTTTTCCTTTCAAACAGAAACACTAACAACTGTCTCTGTGCAAAAGTGTTTCATTCCGTATTTGTCTCGTTTTAATTCATTAAACTGTCTGCGCTTCGAGAAAATATATTAAAGAAAAATGTGTTGCTTCTTGAATCGGGCGGGCTAGATGTACTGCCATGTATTTAGGAGAATACTTGCGGTATGTCCTTACTCAAGACAGATTAAATTGATTTAGTTATTTTGAGAACAGTAAATGATCTTTTAAAGAATATAGTCGTAGAAAGTTCCATGGAAAGATTTGCAGATCTAAAGGTTAAAAAATGTTTTACGTAGGATAATAAATGTGTCATTGAGATTTTTTTAAATTGTATATTTTAATACACACATTATTCTACATTTTCAGTTTTTCTCCTTGAGAAAATTAAAAAAAAATAATATACTTGTTAGAGCATTAAAGTTTAAATTGCCCAGGCTGCCATCAATCCTAGAGTCTGGCTCTTCTGGCAGGGATCGAACTTACGTAATCAACACTATAATTTAATAAACATTTAAATTCTCCCTCGAAACATTGCTTAATTCATACGGGATATTTTTAAAATATTTCCTGGTACTATGAACTGAATCGGCACATTTATTTGATAAAAATACCGGCGGATCCTTTATTTGAACCTGCACACTGATTACTAGAAAAATTCTACCGGCATGACTATTCCAGACGGCACTTGTAAAGCAATGCCAGAAAAAAAAAACAACAAAAATTGTGAGGAAAAACTTATAGGAGAAATAAGCGAGAAAGGAGACGTAGTTATTTTTATTTTGACGTATTTGGTTTTATCTACATAACATACTTGAAATAATAAACACTATCTTACATTATACTGTAAAGAGATTCGAGTTGCACGTTTTCAAAAATTAAATTTTTGATTAAATAATTTTGTCAAACATATTACAAACACTTTTACAATTACTCCTCGCTCGGAACCACGGTTCTATTTTACTCAGCCAATCAACACATTCATTGGCAATTACAAAACGCTTAATTTTTTTCCCGTTCAAAGTTAGAGACCTTCATTGATGCATGTATACAAATTTTTATTCAATTCCTCCGTGCTGATCAAATATCGATGTACAATAAAGTAATCGATGTCCTAGCAATAAAATTGGACATTAAGCAATTTATATGCTACGATCGTCATCAATATTCAATATCTATTTTTTGAAAAATCGTTATGGATACACCAAACGAGAGAGAGAGAGAGAGAAAGCGAGAGAGAGAGAGAGAGAGAGAGAGAGAGAGAGAGAGAGAGAGAGAGCGAGAGCGAGAGAGAGAGAGAGAGAGAGGCAGCAAATTTTCTATTTAATCATGAAGTGTCTGCAAAGTAATCTTTATTGTTACATTTGTGTTATAGAACATCCATTATATTACAAGGATCTAAGTTAGTATTATCACCACTGCCCTAGGCTTACGACCGCATCACATTGAATCACCGGCTCCTGTATGATCACGGAAGTCAAGCAACATCAAACCTGGTGAGTACCTTATCTAGGTACTCACCAGGTTGACCGCTTAGGATTACCAATTGATGTAAGCTTGGATGTGCGAGCGATAATGGATAATAGCTCGTACTTTTATTTGTGTTCCAATTTCCGTTGGGTTTGTTATATTTCGTTACGTGCAAATACCCTTTGGAAAGCTACAAATCAACTAATTTTCCCCCAGCTATGGGTTAATTAGTACAACATGTATCACTAATCCAATATTATCTCCCCGCCTCAAAATTCTTAAATTCTAAAAAATATTTTCTGGGTTTAAATAACCTGCAAAGTGTTGATAAGCCGTAAAAAAAACAAAAAAAAACGAATCAATCACTGTTATGAATATCATATTTAATATTTTTACTGACATATCTCTGGAATGCGAGTATCAAGGCTCGCTACAGCTTCCTTTTTATAATACTTATATATATATATATATATATATATATATATATATATATATATATATATATATGCAGAATATAGTATAGTGCATATCTACACTTGGCAAAATAATAATTCCCTGTTGAAATCTCCACGCTTTAATCAAAGATAATATATATATATATATATATATATATATATATATATATATATATATATATATCGTGGACTCTCCGTCGTATTCGACGTATGATGTTGAAGCAGCTCAGTTCCTAGGAAATACAGCACATATGATTTGATTATATTGTTGAAGGTCGTGTGCTTAAACAACCACATTTTTTGAAGGCCCGAACACAACCACACGTACTAAGTACCACAAGGTCCTCAAACGAATATCCGTAGGTTATGAATTAAGAGTAGTCCTTCTCTTAGACCAGTTGCCATTCAAGGCTATAGAACCTAGTCTGTTCTGCTATTTACCTGCTATTTTCCCATAGATGGAGGGAGAAAAAAGGGATTAATATCTTTCCCCAGCGTATTAGCACGTAAATGAATGTAACTGATTCGACTGGAATTCGAACTCAGCTCTTGGATTCTTCAATCCGAGCTGTGTATATATATATATATGATTCGTGTTGAATTTTTATATGTTCTAATGTTAATTATGTTTAAATGAAAATGTCCATGAAGATGGTCTTAAATAGACCGAAACGTCCGACGTCGACTTTATATAAACATTAATACAGCATAATTGCATATTAAGATATTTGTTTATTTTTCTATATATTTTTCTTCATATATATATATATATATATATATATATATATATATATATATATATATATATATATATATATATCGATTTCGAAGTATGAGTCTCAAGGTGCTCAGTTATTAGAAGTCCATAACCAGACTACTCTTATATATGATTATAGAGGTGAATGCTTGTACAGAACCAACCACACTTTTTGGAAAATTCGAATGTAAAGAATTGGTAAACAGCGTGCCACAAGTTTCCCAAATGATAATTGTCAGGTTTTGAATTTCGAGTTGTCCTACTCGTAGACAGGTTGCCACCCAATTTATAGGACCCGTCTGAGGTGCTATTTCGCCATAGTGCCTTGACCGCTCGGCCACAAAGGATCGTTCGGTTGGAAAGGTCGTAAATGACGGTTCCGTATAGGATGCAGGTTCGAATCCTGTCAAAGGACGAATATTTTCTATGAAAATTTCTCGGACATTCAGGCCGGTAAATGTTATTTAATACTGTTTATTATAAACAGAGCATTTACTTAAATACTTGTATCTATAAAAAGAACGTTAAACATAAAAATGTCTTTTATAAATAAATTGTCGAACTTTGTCCATTTCTTAATATATATATATATATATATATATAAACTTATAATATATATATATATATATATATATATATATATATATATATATATATATATATATATATATATATATATATATATATATAAACTTGTAAAATATATATATAGAACTTGTAAAACTTGGGATGACCCATGCCCTTTTTGCCTACATGAAAAACTACACATTATTAAGTTTTTAAATAATAAAAATCTATTAAACGATAGACATGAGTTAACGGTTTTTTGCCGACATCATCAAATTTTCGCATTGAATAATTAGCATAAAAACAAACAAACAATAAAATAATTTTTAAATTTCGTAGTTCTAATAAATAGTTTAAATGCCCTACAAAAAAGATACCCCTTTATGAAGTCGTCAAAAAGCAAATGTTAGCGACTTACGACAGTTTTTTTATATACACAAAACCCTTTCAGAAAAAATAAAAAAATAAAATAAAAAGTAAATAAATCTCCATAGACACTTAACCAGACTAGACGATGTCATCTTCCGTTTTAAATTTAGACTGAGATATTGATACAAATTATTAACACTTTACGCCCCTTTTCTTTAAACAATTGCTCTAGCCGTTACCATAGAAATTTTGATTTCACTAATGAATATGCTTATAAAACGCGTAAATTTCAGAAATAAATTATTCCAAAAAGATTTCGCTTGAAGATGGAACAGAGCTTAGTACTTTAATTCAATTTAATTCAAATAATTATATTGAAGTTTTCGGCTCTTGTTTTGAAACATGAGAACTCTTATGTAGCGTGTTGGAATCATATTTTTAAATAAATAATTATATATATATATATATATATATATATATATATATATATATATATATATATATA